TCTAAAATAAATTACATTAATAACTAATGACGTAATTACAAAACTAGCTAAAAGTGATAATATTCCTCAGACGTGATCTCCTAATTTTAGCGAAATTACTCGAACATTCTGGAAATAACAGCTTAGGATAATTTACAGAGGGAGTGCGGGCGGTTATCTTGAGGTTATCTTGAGATGATTTATAGAAATATAGAAATATAGATATAGAAATTTATAAAGGCGTTTTTGACGTTGACCAGACCATACACTAGAAGGTGAAGGGACGACGACGACGTTTCGGTCCGTCCTGGACCATTCTCAAGTCGTTTAGCCTGTATATGACGTAATATCTGTGTATTATACTCCATTGTTTGACGAAATATTTATGTCTGCCCCTATTGTTTGACGGAGTGGGTAGTGTATGCCCCCATTCTATAACATAATGGGGTTGTGTGCTCCCAAGTTAAGTTCAGTACCTCCATTTATGAACTACTGTACAATCTGTCCTCTTACTGAGAACGTCGCTTTTCGCTCGTATGCGTTATATAAGGCCAAAAAAAAAAAATCATACTAGAAAACGGAAGCGGTTGGGGAAAGTGACGTACTGTCCCCGTTTTCTGTTTTGGGTCCTCTTGGTAGGTTAGGAGACGAGGCTTTAAATAGACCGTTTTCTTGACGTTGGGGAAACCTTAGGAGGTCGGGCTGCATTGTGACTCCTCACATTAGCATTTGAAGAACATGTTCACCTGCAGTGTTCATCAGCTCACTTTGTTCTTCTCTGTTCCAGGACGGGGAGAGGATGTTCATCGGTGCCCCTGGAGCGTTCTACTGGCAGGGTGAGAGGCAATGTTCATCTGTTCTGTTCATATAATACAAGAAACACGACCCACCTGAGATGTTCATCTTATATGGCATAGTAACACACACACACACACACACACACACACACACACACACACACACACACGAGCACATTAAGAATTACAAACAAATGATAATAACAATCTGGGTTATATTCATGATATACTTTCTAATTTGATCTTTTTTTCAGAGTTTGGTTATACATTTTCTGTATATATTTTGATATGATGATATCACTGATTGGGTATACACTAAAGTTTAATTTGTCAGCTCGTTCCAAATTACGAGGGGGGCCAGGTCGTACCTGTGTACTACAGGGGAGTACGACTTAATACAAGTCGTACTCCCTGTATTCAGGTCACACAGTTGGGTGGCCTGTCCACCATTGGTTGTCATGAGGTGTGGGGGTCACATACTAGCAACATATGAGGCCAGTACCCTCAATAAAGTATAGAGTGCACCTACCACAACTGGGAGTCGCCATCACCAGATATAGAGAGAGAAGTTTGGCGTCACCAACTCAGAATTTGCTCCGGAATAATTCACTAGATTGTGATGCTCCGGGGAGAGTGTGGCGAGGGGCCCGCGACACTCCCCTGGGCTTTATGATCAAGTGGGGTGCTCAGAGATGGTTCCTTGGGGGCGGTGGGCGAGGTGGGGCGGTGGGCGAGGTGGTGGGTGAGCAAGCACCTAGTTGTGCTTGCGGGGGGTTGAGCTCTGGCTCTTTGGTCCCGCCTCTCAACTGTCAATCAACTGGTGTACAGGTTCCTGAGCCTACTGGGCTCTATCATATCTACATTTGAAACTGTGTATGGAGTCAGCCTCCACCACATCACTGCCTAATGCATTCCATTTGTCTACTACTCTGACACAGAAAAAAAATCTTTCTAATGTCTCTGTGGCTCATTTGGGCACTCAATTTCCACCTGTGTCCTTAAGCTTTATTGAGAGGAATGAGTCTATACTCTCTGGGAGATCATTTACGTATATCAGAAGCAGGATAGGTCCGAGTACGGAGCCCTGTGGGACTCCATTGGTGACTTCACGCCGATCTGAGGTCTCACCCCTCACTGTAACTCTCTGCTTCCTATTGCTTAGGTACTCCCTAATCCACTGGATCACCTTACCAGTTACTACTGCCTGTCTCTCCAGCTCCAGTTGGTGGGGGCGGTGGGCCGTGCCCGGGAACACCTAAATCTTCAAGCGGAACTACTCCGAGTATAAAAACTGGGAACCTGCTAGCGCTAAGTAGCAGGTAGAGCCCCAGAGCGTGGGTGAGGGCATGGGTCAGGGGGCGATGCGTGACGTGAGAGAAGAAATGGGGTCAGGGCGTTGACCACAGCATTGGTAATTGCATGGGCCAGAGCGTAGGTCAGGGGTGTGGGCACGGGGTTGAGGGCGTGGGTCAGGGCATGGGCGTGGGTCAGGGAGTGGAAGCGCACACCCCGCACAAGAGCGGCTTTGTCTACCCCTCTGTAACGTTTATGTATTCTCGTAGTGAAGGTTGAGTGGTATAATTAGTGTGGTGTTAGGGTACAGCTGACCGCTAGCGCACTGTTGCTCTACCTTGTAGTCTGTCTTCTGCTGTTTCTCCTGTCCTCCCTGCAGCCCTCTTGCTGCCTTCCCTTCCCCCCTTTTCTTTCTTTCAAGCCTTTCTAACACTCCTTTCTATTTTGACACCTTTCCGTATTTTCTGACCCTCCTCCCTTGGTCCACGGTTGTTCAACGTCCTACCAGCGAGCATCAGAAATATTCCCGGAACAACCGTGGTCAAAGTGTGAAGGATTGAAGAAATTGTTTATGTAATAATCTAAGATGAGGTCTGATAAAGACCTTTTGTGCCCTCTGTAATGCTTTTGCGCTACCGCTCACAGGATGAGTATGGGGTGCACAATAAACTAGCCGCCTTCGGCGGCAACAATCAAAATCAATCTTCAAGAGGAAACTAGATTGTTTCCTTCAAGGAGTGCCGGACCAACCGGGCTGTGGTGGGTTTGTGGGGCCTACGGGCCGCTCCAAGCAACAGCCTGGTGGACCAAACTCTCACGAGTCAAGCCTGGCCTCGGGCCGGGCTTGGGGAGTAGAAGAACTCCCAGAACCCCATCAACCAGGTATCAACCTCGACACACTTCCGCGTATAGTACACCATTTTGTACGCGGGAAATGCGTATACGGCGTTAGGTACAAGGTTCAAGGCTTATTCAAGGTACATACACAGAGGCAAGCAGCTATTTCTTACCTTCTTTTCCACTCGTTCCTTACCCCAATAAGCCCCCTGATAACTCCTGTCCCCTACCACCCCGCCTTCCTTCAGCCCCTCACCTCCTCCTTCACCCTCACACCTTGAGGTAGTCTGTGTGTTCCCGCGGAGGAGGCAGACGATCTTGGTAAACAAAGTCGAAACATGTCGTAAACACGTTTGGCGGTCCGTCTGGAATCGCCTGTGGTGGGGTGAGTCACTAGCTGCCCATTATCAGAGGAGGTGGGGATAAACTGGTGGGTACTGGTGTATAAACGGGGTTAACAGATGGGTATGGGTAAGAGAGAGAGAGAGAGAGAGAGAGGTCTCTCTCTCTCTCTCTCTCTCTCTCTCTCTCTCTCTCTCTCTCTCTCTCTCTCTCTCTCTCTCTCTCTCTCTCTCTCTCTCTCTCTCTCTCTCTCTCTCTCTCTCTCTCTCTCTCGTCTCTCTCTCTCTCTCTGTCTCTCTCTCTGTCTCTCTCTCTCTCTCTCTCTCTCTCTCTCTCTCTCTCTCTCTCTCTCTCTCTCTCTCTCTCTCTCTCTCTCTCTCTCTCTCTCTCTCTCTCTCTCACTCTCTTTCTCTTTCTCTTTCTCTCTCCTTTCCATACCCTCCACTGTTACAGTCTGACACTTTCACTCCTGTTTTACTTTATTTTGGTGTAAATATATGCATCAAATACCTCTGCCGATACCTGTGTATTTCTATATACATTTATGTATTAGTTTGGTAAATAACCTTCAGATGTGTGTGTTTTATGTTCTTTAAATATATATATCCATTCATACACAGTGTATTTGAGTTTATTAATGTCGAGTTGTATTCCCAGTATGCGACTGTCAATCCATCAAGGTAAGGTGTTAACATTAAATGTTTGTAAATAAGATATATGGCACCGTGGGCGAGTGTTGCCGACGGGGAGAGCGACCCATATTGAGTGTTGTTTACTATTGCAGGCCAAGTGTGGATGGCGCGCCTGAAAGGTAACTGAGGCCCGGCTTTACTGACGAGGCTGCCTCTGCCTCGCCCTTTTTTCCATTCATTACTTCGCTGCACCAACACGTTGTACACCCTCCTTCCTTACTCCTGTCACACTCTTACTGGGAGGGAGGTGCTCGCTACTCTCATCACCGAGTAAGAGGACACAGCATTTGCAAAAGTATCTCCTTGCTAGGTGTACACCTCTTGTCTCTCCATCACGGCGGCTTTGTATTTATTAAATTGCATTCGAGGTTGTCCTTCAGCTGAGGTTCTTAGGGACGACCTCGCAGCACTCCAGAGCTCGTAAACTGTTTAGTAAATCACGAATAAGCCGCCATGAGTGAGATTAGAGGTACACAGCTCTGATGAGGCAAGAACTTTGTGAATGAAGTTGGTCTGAACGTCGACAGCTCCCAGAGGGCGTCTTCGTTCCTTCTCATTCAAAAGCCTGCGTTGAGGCGCTTAGCAAACGATACCACTCTTGTTTGAATACGATGAGTAGTTGAGAGCAGCTCCTCCCACCCAGGCCCAGGATTCGCCAATCAGTTACGCAGCCTCGTACGAAACCCGATCTTCTCTCTTAAGTCATGGTGGCTTTGTTTACATTTATTATAGTCTGAGCTCCCAACCACTACGAGTTTGTTTATAGCAACCTCGGGTTGTGAAGTTTCTAAAGTCGTAAACTGTTTAATAAGTGTCAACATTGCCGCCATGATCGCTGAGATATGGACTGGGTTCGCAAGTGATTGTGCAAATGCTTGATGACTCGTGGTCCTGAGTTTTAAAGCCGCTTGGGTGACGTTAGTAACCAGTACAGTACAAGGAATCATGTTGTGTTTACATCATTGTTCGTGGTCGATAGTCCTCATATAGGCTCGTTGTGTACTGGCCAGGGTCGTGCCCTGTTTCCCTTCACTGGGTGTTGACGTGTTGTACATGATCGCCGAGACCGAAAGATAAGTTTTATTTAATGTTCTGATAGGTCCGTCAGATGTCAGACTTGTCAATTTAGTGCCCCAACCCCCCCAGAGGTGTATTTGTTATAGTATATCCTCCACCCCCCATTACGAGGTGTATTTGTTGTAGTCTATTCCCCACCCCCCAGAGGTGTATTTATTATAGTATATCCTCCACCCCCTACCCGGCCTTTCCCTCTGCTACGGTCTTTTGCCCACTATGACGCACGCTATTACTTTTGCCCTGTGGATAGTTTCACTTCATTGTACTCCCTGGACTGTGTTCAGTTTTTCATGAATGCAAATTCATTCACATCAAAACTACTCGAACCCCTATTCATTTGCCGTCATTAAAACACTTAAGCCTATATCGAAACTCCCATTAGATATATTGACAAAATTGTAATTACTTTGATCAGTTTGATTTCGGTCTTTTCGATTTTTTTGTAATAAGATGATTCAGTGAAGAGTAACGATGCATGTGCCTACTAAATAGGCCTGCGGCCTACACAGTGAGCGTTCATGAGGCCGGCTTGCCTACAGGTGACGTCACGTGATCCGTTGTAAAGCTTGCTACAAATCCGTCTTGATGAAACCCGGGTAGTCTTATGAGTTTCTTTTGGGCACTGCAGCAGTCATTCCTTTAGTATTTAATTTCGTGTCATTTTTATCCCCTATATAAATATATTTTTTTAAACTATTTATTATGTTATTATTTTATCATTTGACTTACTTGCTTAATACTTTAATTGCTTATTTTTATTTGGCAATATCTGCACTTTTAATATTTTCCTAAAGGCACGACGCTGCTGCACTGCTTTTTTGAAGGTCTTCGAGAACGTGTTGACGGTCTCGCGACCTTGTTGACATGTATGTTAATTAATTTACAGACGCAGACTGGCAGAACTACATCACTTAACGTCATGTATCGTAGCTGTAACATTCTAGGTCATAAGGAGGCAATTAGAGGTGTATACACGTCACTTGACGCTGGTACTAGTGTTTAATGCCAAGACCGAGACATATATATAAACAGCTCTGGGTATTGACGGGTGTGTTTTTAATATTAGTCTTAAGGATCGATAATCCTTGCAATAAGTCGCAGTAGCCAGCCAGGCAAATATGGGCAGATGACGTTGTTTTAACAGGATCAACGTTGATCTTACGTTTAGTAAACGTTATCGTGATTTGTCGGCTGAATATGTTAAAAGAAACGTTTAATCAACGTTGGATAAACGTTTATTAAACGACAATTGACCATTATTTGCCCTCAGTACATGCTCGAGTAACGTTTATTCAACGTTTATTCAATGATGATCGAACGTTACATCAGTGTCGTTAGGCCAGATTTGTCCGGAGGAATAGGCTAGCATTTGCGGCTGGAACAGGTTGCCGCTATAGCTATCTTGTTCCATATAACAGTGCAACATGGCTGTTGTATCGGGGGGCACATTGGTTGTATACCCGTTCGTGACACGTCACAGCCAATGTAACCTCGTTTTCGTAACATCATTCTAACATCTTCCCAACGCCTATCTTTGTAGCGGGATTATATATATATATATATATATATATATATATATATATATATATATATATATATATATATATAGATATATATATATATATATATATATATATATATATATATATTCACAGTTTGATAATAACAAGGTAGAGTTCGTACTAAAAAATTTAATATACACCAAATAACTACAATTTTTCATTGATGCTATTTGCCAGTTTTTTGTTCCAGAGCATGTATTTAAAGATACCTTTTTTTTTTAACTTTTTTGGCTACTTTTTATTAACTTTTGGCTACTCTGAATTGTCTTTACTGCCATATTATATCAGTATTTTGCTGCGTTCGCATAGCGAAACAATTGTGTTTTTCATACGCTGTTTTTTTAAGCTGATCAATTTTGCTTAGCATGAGAAAATGTGTTGGTTATTTTTTAGGCTTTTTTTTTGCATGTAAATAAAAAAAATTATTGTTGAAAGATCCCCTGTCTCTGTAAAATATAATAATTAATAAAATAATAATAATTAATAAAATAATAAAAAAAATCAGCGTATTTGACAAAATTATATATTTTATTCTGACAGGAAACACAAACTCAGTCGTTTAGAAACACAAACTCAGCTCCGTCTAATCCCATTTTTCTTTCTGTTCTTGCTATGGCGGCGTGCAGGCCAAGTCCACGCCCAGGGCCTGGTCGCCAGGAACGAGTACGCCATGACCTGGGAGGGACCCGCTACTGACGACGACCAGTACCTCGGGTACTCGGTGGCCGTCGGCGACTTCTCAGGAGATGGCAAACAGGACGTGGCGCTCGGGGTCCCGAAAGGGTTGAACTATACCGGAAAGGTGAGACTGTTGGCGTAGGGGAGGCTGGCAGGTATTAGGCGTGGGGGAAAGTACGTAGGAAGTTTGGTGTGAGTGTGAGTGTTTGACTTAGGGTTTAAGGTGTGGTTTGCCGTAGTGGAAGTTAGGGGTGTTTGATGTAGGGTAACTGTAATGGAAGTTGAAGTGGGTGTTGATGGGGGTGGTGCTTCTGCAAGTAGATAGGGCATTTGCTTGATAAAAGTCTGTGGTTTCTGTGGTTTCTAGCTTACCCATTGGAGAACGGGAGCTTGTGGAAGGGGGTGGGTAACTTACGGTAAATAATATTAAGCTCTCGTTCTTAATATAAGGTAAGGTTATAATTCTCATGGTCGATAATTATCATTTTTTTAATCAAGGTAAGCATTATTTTGTCTCGTTGAATTTTCTAAGATGCTAAGACAAGAATTATTGCGATCGGTAAATTAAATACAAAGGTAAGGTAGATAATAGTTACCCCCCCCCCCCATTAACCCTTGCTCTCAGTGCTAAGGTAAAGTGAAGGTGATCATGTAAAGGTTTATATGGTCAGGTAAGGTAAGGTAAGGTAAAGTAAGGTAACGTTCCAGGAGGAACTAAAGTAGAAGTTACAATAAACTGTGCTCTTAATATCAAGGTGAGGTACGATGCTCTCCAGGTGAGGCAAGGTGAGGTAGCAATATTCTCCAGGTGAGGGTAGCAATATTCTCCAGGTAAGGTAAGGTGAGGTAGCAATATTCTCCAGGTGAGGCAAGGTGAGGGTAGCAATATTCTCCAGGTAAGGTAAGGTGAGGGAGCAATATTCTCCAGGTGAGGCAAGGTGAGGGAGCAATATTCTCCAGGTGAGGCAAGGTGAGGTAGCAATATTCTCCAGGTAAGGTAAGGTGAGGTAGCAATATTCTCCAGGTGAGGCAAGGTGAGGGTAGCAATATTCTCCAGGTAAGGTAAGGTGAGGGAGCAATATTCTCCAGGTGAGGCAAGGTGAGGGAGCAATATTCTCCAGGTGAGGCAAGGTGAGGGTAGCAATATTCTCCAGGTAAGGCAAGGTGAGGGAGCAATATTCTCCAGGTGAGGCAAGGTGAGGGAGCAATATTCTCCAGGTAAGGTAAGGTGAGGTAGCAATATTCTCCAGGTGAGGCAAGGTGAGGGTAGCAATATTCTCCAGGTAAGGCAAGGTGAGGGAGCAATATTCTCCAGGTGAGGCAAGGTGAGGGTAGCAATATTCTCCAGGTGAGGCAAGGTGAGGTAACAATATTCTCCAGGTGAGGCAAGGTGAGGGTAGCAATATTCTCCAGGTAAGGCAAGGTGAGGGAGCAATATTCTCCAGGTGAGGCAAGGTGAGGGAGCAATATTCTCCAGGTGAGGCAAGGTGAGGTAACAATATTCTCCAGGTGAGGCAAGGTGAGGTAACAATATTCTCCAGGTGAGGCAAGGTGAGGTAACAATATTCTCCAGGTGAGGCAAGGTGAGGGAGCAATATTCTCCAGGTGAGGCAAGGTGAGGTAACAATATTCTCCAGGTGAGGCAAGGTGAGGGAGCAATATTCTCCAGGTGAGGCAAGGTGAGGTAACAATATTCTCCAGGTGAGGCAAGGTGAGGTAACAATATTCTCCAGGTGAGGCAAGGTGAGGTAACAATATTCTCCAGGTGAGGCAAGGTGAGGTAACAATATTCTCCAGGTGAGGCAAGGTGAGGTAACAATATTCTCCAGGTGAGGCAAGGTGAGGTAACAATATTCTCCAGGTGAGGCAAGGTGAGGTAACAATATTCTCCAGGTGAGGCAAGGTGAGGGAGCAATATTCTCCAGGTGAGGCAAGGTGAGGTAGCAATATTAAGGCATATTCTGTTCAATATATACGACATAAGCTCTTGCTTGTATGAATTTATTTATAGTTTTAAAGCATTTAACAGAGGTAAAATGCTGAACTTCAGAAATAATTGTGTGCAATTATTATTTATTTATTGATAGTGCTTGTAAATATACTTGTAAGTGGTCAAAAGTGCGTCCAAGTGCACTTTAGTGACAGTCTTTCTCGACCAGTCGTAAGTATTATGTGTTCTGAAGTATTCATGTGTGCGAACTTAAGTATCTGGAAATCACCTATTGTATTCTTGGGGATTTCTTGAATGGTTTTTTGAAAAAAAAAGTTAGTTGTTACCTGTGATCCAGCTTTTAAGAACGTTAGTGCTTCCTTCATGCCAAACACCATGAGAGCTCAGACAAGTCTCCTCATGCAACACAACATCCGTCCTATAACCTGGGGGCAGGTAAGAGCTGCTAGGAGTGGACGGTAGAGTAGAGGCGGGTCAGGGTTCCACCGGTGTCCACATGAGGGTCACCTAGCAATTATACTTCAGTTACCCCTTGCTAGAGGTAATGGAAGGGTAGATCCACGATGTTCCTCTTGGTATTCAGAAGGTAAATTGTTCTACCGCGGTATTACTGTATGTTAATTAACCCTGTAACCCTGTAACCAGGTAACTCTGCATGTCTGATAAGATGATTTTGTATTTATATGGATTTAATGGCGTTTCCTGCACAAAGGGTGTGTCGTCACTATGAGTTTTATGTAAATATGATTAATATTGTCATCGTTTGTGCACAAGTAAATGTATTTCCATTATTTTAATTCCTGCTTTTTTCCCCGTTTTCTTTTTTTCAACACATTTGTACTTGTTAGTTCTTGTTATTATTATTATTATTATTGTTATTATTGTTATTATTATTATTATTATTATTATTATTGTTATTAAGTTCTGCTTATACTTTTTAATGTTTGTCTCATATGCTTTACATATTTATCAATAGCTTTGGAAAAAATTACAATTTTAATTCGTTTAAAGTTTGTACCTTTTTTTGTAATCTTCTCGATAATGTATAATAGTTCTAAACAATGCCAAAAATACATAAATGTATAAAGTATAAGTTATAAAAAGATTAACTTGTAAATTGCATTATTTAGATTATATATCATTAATGTACTATCTAGAACTATTAATAAGTCAATTTAGTCAATTAATAAGTCATTTAGAACTATTTAATAAGTCAATATTGACTAATAAAGTGCGAAAACGGGTTGAACTATTATACATTATTTTAACTATCATAACATTATTTTGAACTATTATACAATAGACAACCAATAGTTAGAAAAACGGGGTCCAAGAGCTAATAGCTCGATCCTGCAGGCACAAATAGGAAATACAAAAACAAGTGGACACAGTTTCTTTCATCTGATGCACCTGTTTACCTAGTAATAGGTACCATGGAGTTAGATATTTGCTACGGACTGCATCCTAAGGATGTGTGTGTGTGTTTGTGAGAGAGAAATATGTGTCTTAGATTTGATAGAAGAAAAATACGTCAGAAGTCAATATGTTAAACAACCGACAGTTAGAAAAGTGGGGTTCAAGAGCTAACGTCTGGATCTTACACGCACACATTAAATACAAAGAGCACACACACACATACATATACACACATGTATGTGTGTCTGTGAGGTCTGGTAGCTATCCAGACCTCGCAGACCCTTGCTCAGTACCGTCCAACCTGGAAACTCAGTCACCACAGAGGTCCGTGCGGCAGAAAATAGACGGACTGCAGAGGCCCAGAGGAAACACGCTGTGCACAAAGCTAAAGTAACCTTCATCTCTGCAGTAGCATCCTGTGGGCCGCGCCAAGCAACAGCCTGGTGGACCAAACTCTCACAAGTCAAGCCTGGCCTCGAGCCGGGCTTGGGGAGTAGAACAACTCCCAGAACCCCATCAACCAGGTATCAACCAGGTATCCTTCCACAAATGTCCCGTGTGTGGGTGAGCCTTCCAGACCCAGATTGGGCTTATCCTCCATCATCTGGCGGCACCGACCTTCGACCTAATACATTTAAGTCATGCCCATCTTCACATCCGAAAGACGAACATCATTTAACACGGGTGGTACACGAACAAGGGGGACACAGGTGGAAGTTGAGTACCCAAATGAGCCACAGACACATTAGAAAGAACTTTTTCAGTGTTAGAGTAGTTAATAAATGGAATGTATTAGGTAGTGATGTGATGGAGGCTGACTCCATACGCAGTTTCAAATGTAGATACGATGGAGCCCATTAGGCTCAGGAACCAGTTCACCAGTAGGTTGACAATTGAGAGGTGGGACCAAAAAGCCAAAGCTCAACCCCCCAAGCTCGCCAGGTTGTACTCACCTAGTTGAGTATTCACATACACGTATGAACATACTTCTTAAGACCTCTCAAGCTACACAAGCAAGAAGATTCTCGCTTACAAGTAACCAATGGAACCACACCAAGATGAAGACACTTCAAATCTATTTTTTGCTACACTGTGACCAATGTAAAGGCTGAAGCGGTGGAGTGTGTCAGAGGCGGGTGCTGACACACTGACACTGTTGAGGGGGCGCTGAGCTGCTCAGCAACAAGCCCTGGTATACAGCTCCAGCCTCACCCCCTCCGGGATTTATTTCAGGTCCATTTTTTTTATGTAAACTGTCGACAAGTCTATTTATGTTTCTGTTGGTGTGCAGTTAAAGAATACTGGAACGAGGTGGAGTATGGGTCGTTTAGTGCTTGAGTGATTTTGTGTATATTGTAAACCATAACCCCAGTGTTTGTGTGTAGTTGTAAACATAAGAAGAGTTTCCCCAGACAGTAGATGTGGTGTCAAGGGGAGGGCGAGTCAGTGAGGGGAAGTTCCCCAGTAGCGGCGCCAACCACCTTTCTGACAATTTAGTCCCCCCTCACAGTCCTCTCAGGGCCAGCGGGAGCGGAAGGAGCAGGTGTGGGATGAGCTGCCCTCACGGAGGTTCCTCGGCCGGAGAGCCGAAGACGAGGACTCCGAACAGGAAGAGCGAGGCGAGAGACTCCTCAGTCTCACCTGGCCGGAGTGGTTTGAACAGACAGGTTTCCTCTTCCTGAAGAACGAGCAAGTAGGGTACAATTTCGCCAGCGTGTCAGGGGTGTCCTCGATGTATGGCTCCTACGCCATGGTGGTGGGCGAGTTTAACGGTGCTCCTGGCGAGGATCTGGCCGTGGGCATTCCCCGGGGACCCAACTTGAAGGGCGTCCTCACGGGCAAGGTATAGTTTCCTGCTGTGTGTATGTGAATGCATCAGTGACGCGCCTCTGTGTTGTATACTCTACTCTCTGTGTAGCGCCTCAACCACTGCCCGATCTATCTCATCGCCTGCGTCGCCTTCTACGGTAAGATCTTCTGGCGCAGTAGGCGAGGGGGAGGAAGACTTCAGCTACTGTTTTTTTCACGGGCGCTTCACGTAGAACATTGAACTCTTGGATGTGTAGTACAGTGAGCACTGTACTCACTCTCTTCTGTACATCTATGTTGTAGCATTTATTTTATTATCGATGTTCTGTTGCTTCATTGTCTTACAGTAATTTATGTATCTGTGCTTTTGATGTTGCTTATGTGCATCGATGTTTAGTACGTGTTTTAGTTTTGTTTTCATATTTCTTTCGTATTATACTATTCTTGTGTTTTGTCTGTTAGTGTGTCCAGACGACAGATGCTGGTAGTCAGTAGTGTCGCAGGTGTTGCTTGGCTACCTGTGGCTGCCTTGGATGTCCTGTGTTATACACTTGTGGCTGCCTTGGATGTCCTGTGTTATACACTTGTGGCTGCCTTGGATGTCCTGTGTTATACACTTGTGGCTGCCTTGGATGTCCTGTGTTATACACTTGTGGCTGCCTTGGATGTCCTGTGTTATACACTTGTGGCTGCCTTGGATGTCCTGTGTTATACACTTGGTGGCTGCCTTGGATGTCCTGTGTTATACACTTGTGGCTGCCTTGGATGTCCTGTGTTATACACTTGTGGCTGCCTTGGATGTCCTGTGTTATACACTTGTGGCTGCCTTGGATGTCCTGTGTTATACACTTGTGGCTGCCTTGGATGTCCTGTGTTATACACTTGTGGCTGCCTTGGATGTCCTGTGTTATACACTTGTGGCTGCCTTGGATGTCCTGTGTTATACACTTGTGGCTACCTTGGATGTCTTATGTTTCACACTTGTGGCTGCCTTGGATGTCTTATGTTTCACACTTGTGGCTGTCTTGGATGTCTTATGTTGCACAATTATGGCTGCGTTGGATATCTTGCGTAGCACACACTTGTGGCTGACTTGGATATCTTGTATAGCACACACTTGGTGGCTGCGTTGGATATCTGGTGTAGCTCACACTTGGTGGCTGCGTTGGATATCTTGTATAACACACACTTGTGGCTGCCTTGGATATCTTGTATAGCACACACTTGTGGCTGCCTTGGATATCTTGTATAGCACACACTTGTGGCTGCCTTGGATATCTTGTATAGCACACACTTGTGGCTGCCTTGGATATCTTGTATAGCACACACTTGTGGCTGCCTTGGATATCTTGTATAGCACACACTTGTGGCTGCCTTGGATATCTTGTGTTGCAAAATTGTGACTGCCTTGGATGTCCCATGTTGAACACTTGTGGCTGCCATGGATGTCTTATGTGGCGCAATTATGTGGCCTTAAATGTTTTATGTTGCATATAGGGTTGCAGATTCCGTGTTGTCGATAAAGCTTTCGGTGTCTCAATGTGCTCCATTTTATTTATTATGTTCGTTTCATTTTATTTAAGTTTTTAAAATCATTTATTTATTTCATATTTCCTTACGTACGTGTACATAAGTCATTATATTATTTCTATTGTAATTAGCTAATTATAATGTCAAGTCTCTCTAGAGCTTAGAACATGTATCTGTGAAACGTTTTCTTTTAATAGTTCCATCTTCCCAAACTCAAACTGGACAGATATAATAACTTTCTCTCTGTTAATTATTATAATTTATGTCTCACTTGTACATACCTAAACCAAAATTATTTTGTCGTCCGTGTTGTTGGGTCTGGAACAACCCTGTTCTGTTGGGTCTGTTGGGTCTGTTGGGTTGTTGTTTTGGGTCTGGAACTTCTTGGTAGGTTTCGTGAGTTTTCCTGGAAAATGTAGACTTGTATGAAAGGGTAATAGAGAAGTGGTTATCCTGGCGACCTGGCGGGCAGTCGAGTGCGGTCCGTGAAGCCCCTGTTTGTAGCCAAAGGATAGCTGATAGACTAAGTGTATTCCATCTGTCAGGGGCTACGCTTTTTGGTCCTGTTGCGTCACCAGGGTCCCTGTCGCGTGAGACGGGCGAGCATCTCACGAGACAGCAGCAAGACAGCTCTAGGTGTGGTTGGATATAAATTAAATTGAAGAGGGTTGGATTAACTGTGGAGCAGTGTCGAGTGATGGCCAGAGACAGCAGCAGGGGTGCGGGGGGTGAGGGAGGGGGGGGGACGTGCAAGTTAACATGAAGACGATTTGTGTGACACTTCCCCCCTCCTCCTCCTCCTCCTCCTCCTCCTTCTCCTCCTTCCTCCTCCAGGAAAGTAATTAAGGCGGATGTATAAGTCTGGTAATTAAACTCAAGAGGATTACCTTAATAGGTCCAGAGGTGAAGCGTGAGACATTGCCCTTACCTGCCTTCTCCTTCAATCGTTTCCTTCATCTTCTCACCCCTCCCCCTTCTTTCACCCCCCCCCCCTTCCTTCACCACCCCTCAAGCACTCTTCCAACCAATCACCGTCACCTCTCGGATACTTGGGGGGGATGGAAGATAGTGGTAACCCACACCGTCGGGCGGTAACGCTTATATTCCCTGGCTACATTGCCCTCTAAACCGTCCCTATGGGCTTGTCTGGCTCCCCCTGGCCAGGTTGACCTGTGCCACCCCCTGAAACTCTCGAGACCGCTTCAGGTTTTGTCCTGGCAGAAGCGCTGGCG